GCATAAATGGGCTAAACCTGGTCCCCATAGCCGTACCTTGTTTTTATATATAAAATTAATCTAAAAACCAAAGATAATAATTTGTAAAAAATTATTTTAATATCTTGAACAATAAAATTAATTTGCAGCCAAACTGAGAGGACGCACATGCCTCAAGCTCCGAGTAAAAAACGTTGAATTCAGCTAAAAATGGGAGGAAAACCTACCCTAACGACACCCTTTGCTCTCCAGACGGCATGTGACGACGGAATTAAAAAACGAAGCCGGATAGACCCCCAAAGGCCCGCAATGGCGTCCCAGATAGATGGCCTATATAACACGTCCGGCGAGGCTTCTATGTCTGACGAGGGTGATTACGGCACTCACTTGCGACCCACTCACCTGCGAAACCTCCGATCATGGAGGAGAAGCTGAGGGACAAGCTTGGTGAGCTGCTCCGCAGTATTGCAGCTGACACCGGCACGTTCCGCGAAGTGATCAGTGGAGTATTGGCCCGCCTGCAAAACACAGAGCTTAACACTGCCGCATAGGAGAGCAGACTTGCAATGGTGGAGCAGCAACTTTTAGTCCAGCAAAAGGCCCAACGAAAACATCAAGACAGCATGGCAGCGCTTGAAGACAAGAGTGTGGCGGAACCAACCTCGCCACTGGCCATTGGAGGAGCCTGGTTGCCCACCTCTTGCTGCTGGACTATGGCCCTGCATTAAAAACCTTTTATTTTCCCTATGTGAGCAGTGTTACCCCAGATGGCTACGCCATGGAGCCCATTCGTATACCGAAAGACTATGGGAAAGACTTTGGCTCCATGGCGATTGAACTGCAAGCATGTGATCTGAGCGCCATCCGGTAGTAATGGGCGCTGAGTTCAAAGCTATCTGGGGATAGGTAGAATGTGTATGTTCTACGTGATGAATGTAACAGTATGTAATTTTATGCCATTTACTGTCTTTTTACTGCCATGTGGTTAATGGAGTTTTGCCTCTGTCCTTGGAGATAATTGGATTACTTCCCAATTATCTCCAGGATAGAAGACTCTGTGGAACTGGTTTTGGGAAGAAAAACAATACTTCATTTGGTAAAATAGGACTTTCCCTTAACTTTTTAACCCCTGAACCGATTGCCCTGATTTTTGAATATGTGTATATTTCAAGCATGTGGATTCTGAATATGTATTTATGAAGATTGGACGTATATTTTTAAAGTTATAACACATGTATAAAAACTGCTTGTGATAATTATGTTAACCCATTGTGTACCATAATTATATCACAGGCAGAGGGGAGGATTTTGTGTATAATTGCTGGGAGTGTTTTCTGTAATTGTGTGTGTTATTGGTTGTTCTATAAAACCCTGTGGGCAGTACTAAGTTTGTGGATTGTGAATAAAAGATGTTGTATGTGTCAGTACAGTAAGTTCTGCTTGACCTCAAAACAAAGTGTCGTCTCGTTATTGGGGTAATTGGATTGTATGCTGATTGCCAGGAGTGTAAGCTGATTGTATGCTTTTCCTGTTCGGCTGTGTAACGGATCACCTGGCACCCCGACTGGGTACCTCCGTTGAAGGATGCTCCTAGCACTTCCTGAGGACTCCAAGCACTGCAGCAGACACCAAAACCACCGAACCGTAGGAGCATATGAATGCTCTCAAGCATATGAATGTTGTATACAGCCGAACAGGAAAAACCATGCAAATAGGTTTACACTCATAGCAGTCAAACTGGAACAGCATACAATAAATCCTCCCCCAATAATGAGACGGCACTTCACTTTGAGGGTTAAGCAGGAACTGACTGGACTGGCACATACAGCCTCTTTTATTCCCAATCCACAAACTTAGTACTGCCCACAGGGTTTTACAGAACAACCAATAACACACGTACATTACAGAAGACACTCCCACACAAAATCCTCCCTCTGGCTGTGATATGATTACTGAACACAATGGGTAATCTAATTATCACAGCCAGAGAAATACAGTTTCATAAAACACATCACATGGACCCCAAAACATGCAATAACCCCATTCACCCAGATCCGTTCAGTACTTTGGAAGATACAGTTTAATGCAGATTCTGCAGAACATATACAGGCTAAATGAAAAACAATCACTGTATAATGTGTCCCCTGCTGTATAGTCCAAAACCACTGCACGATGTCTCTGTGCACCAAATACTGGCGAGATGGCACCGTGTTGAAAAGTCCAAACAGTGTCTGTGAGTTAAAATGGCCGCCATCCATTGTTCTCACCATGTGCTTCATCCATTGTTCTCACCATGTGCCTCTGATACAGGAAATGGTGGCCACCCAGTAACTCCACAGTATGTCCCCAGATGGTTCTTAAAGGGCCAGTAGCAGCACAATACAATACAACATGCCCAAATCCTGTATTTAAAGGGTCAAATCTCCCAGGGGCCATAGTCAGCAGGCAGGAGGCAGGCAAACAGGCTTCTCCAATGCCCAGTGGCGAGGTTGGTTCCGCCACAGGCTGTTTTGTGGGGATATTTATGGGTTAATAATAGTAAACAGTTGAGAATTGTCCACTAATTCAATTCTCAGATCCCAAAGAACGTTTATCGTGTTAAGTGGAATGTATTTCATATAATTAATATCACAATGTATAAAAATATATTTTTATTTATATGACAAATTAATTAATAATAATATTATGCAACATGCATGACAATAATCAATGAATATTCAGTATAAAATGGTATGCAATACAAAGAAATGGGTATTACGTTACAATGGCTAAACGGCATTATCTGTCAAGAATTCTGACGATTTATGAGGTATCCTTAACACAGACTTAAGTGAAACTTTTCACAGCGAAGAACAGAATTCCTCAGAGTGCAGCGTAAGGTCGTAAAGTTTAGCAGACAGTTAGAATAACCCTTTCAATGCTGGCTAGATCTCCTAGGTAGTTAAGATCTATTCTTATGTAATTTTAAATAAAATAACATTTAAACCAGTTCATTAGTCATTTCCTGAAAAATCCAATAAGAGAATCTAATATATTATATAAGCAGATTTTTAATTTGTCTAAAAGATATCTATCTTAAATTAGAGCAAATCAATACACCTGGATAAAAACAGCGGTATGCTAACACGTGATAATATCACATCAATATATAATTATTCTTAATTCCACCTGCAGAATGGAATGTTTATAACTATATATTCTTAGTTAACTAAGATTTCTTAATATGGAAATCTGACCGTGCTTTATCCAGTCATATATAATGCTATTAATACATTTTAATTAATTTAATTTAATTAAATGAAACCAGTATAATTACCAGTTGAGTAGATATTTCATCCGATTGGTAGTCTCAGGAACTTATTTGGATGTCTCTCTCTGCATGGAGGTTGGAGTCCCCAAACTTCCAATTCCTCTCTCCTCTCCTTTGCATCTCTTGCATCTGCCTTGCATCTCCTATCTTGTATACTCTATCTTCCCTTTGTCCTAACTTTTAAAGGGCCAGACTCTCTGTACGTCATCAGTTGATAACCCAATAGAAGCACTAGAGGTGTGGTTATCTTCCAGATCGCAATTTAGGTATTTAGTCTATAGAGGGCAATCTTGTCCCACTAAACATACCTATCCAGGAAAGAGTTAACTTTTCCTGGTGGCTATTTTGACGTCATTTTGCGTTATCTTTATAGCGCCATAATTTAAAATTTCAAAGGGTTTCTTAAATTTTGTCCAGACTTAGCGTCTGCAATTCCTGCCATAATTTCTGATATGACAGATCATGAACTAAGTTTACCCTTTTCCATACAATGGTACCTTATATGTATATAGACAGTTAAATTTTATTATTTAATCTTCTCTGTCACAATTGTCTGGGTTTAGATTTGATTATATTCTTCTTATCACTTGTTTATACTATGCTATGCATTCCTTAGCTCTGGCAAAGAGGCCAGTCTTACAGAAAGAAATCTAGTGTCTTCTTTGTTAATTTGAAATAACAAAATGGAGTCTGGTCTGTTCAGAGTGACTCAGAATATACACTTTTAGTTTCTATCATAGCACAAAATGTCTGCCGATATAAATACTCTGACATAACCCCCCTTTAGTGCATTTCATAGCCAAAATTAATTTAGCTTATGAATAAGCACTATAGAAGTTACCAGACATATTGTGCAATCACATCATTTCTAACATAGGCCCGTGCGTGGAATGAACATTTTTGTATATATTTGTACCTGTAAAAGTTTTGAACTTTACACTTAGTACAATCAGCCATAATATCATTATTATCATAGCACACCCAATAACAATCTTAACATGGATGAACCAGTCAACACGAGCAATAAGGTCAGTATCTAGCTCAGAGTATTTAAATGTATCCACAGAAATGTTATCTTTTCTGATTGACATTTGGATAGTGTGGTTGGGCTTGTGGTCCAGCAAGAATTTTAGATTAGGATCTAGAGGGATATCTAGATTCTGGAAGGGATCCACCATCTCAATAGCACTTTCGATGACGTCAGTGTACACTGGGTATAGCGTAACGTCACCGATGGTGATACGAGAGTCGTGGGGTACCTTGATCAGTGAGACAGGTGCTGGTAAGGCAATTACTTTATTAGTCACCTGGTCCCTGCGAAAAACACTTATGTTTTTAAGACACGTGCTTACCAACCATTTATCTTTTACTAAGATAGCATGTACTAACGCATTACTGTCGGTTTTTGACATAGTTACTTGACATGTTTCAGAGCCATGTTTAAGGTACTCAATCCCACACAAAGCATTGGTAGAATCGTACACAAAAGGTTTTCCATCACATTGGAAATTATTGTCTTTGAATTTCTCACAGTCATTCAAAATGGGTATAGAATACCAATGGTTGAAAAGCCAAAACATCTGGGGTTTGGACTTTTACGTGGATATTTTCCTTCCATGTACCGACATTGTAGATTGTTTTCATTTGAAAAATGTTTTTGGGAGTTACATATGGTATGGCCAATAAAAAGCAAATCTCCATATGTTCCGGATCAATTAAGAGAGGTATAGCGCTCCCCATCTCAAAGGCCAGATTTAATTGCATAGGCTCAATTGTCTCTCCATCCACATTGGCAAGCATCGCATGAACAATATCCTTGGATACAAAATACAGAGGTATGCGTCCCCCTGCCAATTCGATCATTCCAGTTTGCACTTCGTCGAGAAAAGCAAGTGTGTGGAACAATATTGAGTCATGCAGAAATAGAAGTTCACGCTTAAATAAGTCATGACTTTGGTGCAACTCAGTGGATTTGGTAATTAACTCCGAATGCAAATTTGTTGTAACAACTGTGTCTTCCACAATAGTTAACACGTCTTGGAGAAGTGTTCTTTGCTGGTTTATCACCTGATGAATATCGTTAATGTGTTGCTTTAGCGCATAGATTTCCATATCCAGCTTTTGGACAGTAATAGAGTTGGCTGCAGACATTCCAGTTGCGACAACTGCACCGACAGTGGCACAAACTAATGCAACAATTATAGCGGTGAGGAACCTTTTGGGTCGGTTGCTCATCGGAATAGAACTGGATACAAATGGTTTTCGGGCTTGCTCCAAGATGTTTCGCACACGGTCCTGTGCTCTTTGGAGGTGCATCTGGTACCAAGTCTGTAACTCAGGAAGCTGCATCGATGAAATGTTGTATGCCTTCTCGATGGAAATCTTGGGGTCCAAGCTGACGAACACACGTCGGGTCAGGATCCTCTTCTCTGTTAAGATGAACCCTGGTGTCTCTTGAATCAGGATGCCGGAGGATGGTCCCATCTCTGCGATCGGGTCGGTCCGTAGCTCTTGGCACAGGAGCAGTACGATCCAGAAACACGTCACATCCTTCTTGGACATCTTTCGACAGTCACGGATCAGGAACTCGTTTCAGACTTATCTACTAATGATTCAAGGTTTGTTAAGCATACAAACTTATAACAGTGTGACATCACTTGGCCTAGGTCAACACATTTTTACGATTCATCACATATGTATTCTGTCTAATTCTATTTTTATAACTTCATCCCTCACTACATTTATTACTGACTCTTCAGCAATTTGCTTATAGCAGTTAAACAAGCTAGTAACCTGCTTATAAAATGTAGTTATTGGATGGCAAGGAAATGGTTAATGACATGAACGTACATGAGATCATGGCACATCACAACATTTCACATCATACTATACCACGTGAATCAAGCATTCATCCAGGTTAGTCGTTCACCCTTCTGCGTCTGAATCCACACCTATAATCCTTAATTGAGATTTAGGATGACAAGCACGCAACTGGTTAATGTGAACCCACTTTTCAATAAAATCACCATCCTTAAGAATTTTTATCTTGTACGCTACTGGGGAAATTTTGTCAATAATGACATATGGCCCTTTCCAAGAAGGTAAAAATTTCTTTTCCTTGACTTGATTTTGCGCAAAGTTATACAGATAGACTTGATCTGTTATCTCATATTCCTTTTTCGTGGTTTTTAAATCGTAATAGGTCTTAACCACTGTCGCTGCTTTTTCTAGATTCTTTTGGGCAAAAGCAAATGCATGCTGTAAATGCTTGCGCAAATCTTCGATATACTGATGCGTAGTGGCAGCATTGATCAAGTTATGATCCGAAGTACGATATAGTAAATGCTATGGTAAAACCATCTTTCTTCCTGTCATCAATTCAAAAGGTGACAATTTGGTAGCAGTGCTAGGTGTAGCTCTAATCGCCATTAAAACTAGGGGCAATTTAATGTCCCAGTCTTTACCAGACTCCTTAACATATTTCTTCAGAATATTAACGATAGACTGGTTATATCGCTCTACCCCCCCGCTAGACGCAGCGCGGTATGCAATATGTAGCTTTCGTTTAACACCTAGAATGTTCCACATCTTAGCCATTACTTCGCTGGTAAAATGACTACCTCTGTCTGACTCAATTCTTTGAGGCAGACCGAACCTGGAAAAGACATGGTTAATCAACAAAGTGGCGCACACGGTACTCGTGTTCTCTTTACAAGGCAAACATTCTATCCACTTTGTGTACATACATGTAACGGTTAACATGTATTTGTTACCTCTTGAAGATCTTGTTACAGGACCTATAAAGTCAATTTGAATATCAGACCAGGGTAATGACACCCCCCTCTTCTGAAGTGGTGCACGATGGGTTGGACCATGGGGTTGATATTGCGGACAAATCAAGCATCCCTGACAGTATGTCTTAACATCCCTTAACATGTGTGGCCAATATGCATAATCACGCAATATCTCATATGTGATCTTATCACCACGATGCCCAGATGTAGGTGCATCATGTGCGTGTTGGAGCATTAACCCTCTGTATACAGTTGGGACTACCCATTGTTGTATACCATGTTTAGAAGTCCTGACCAGTAACCCATCCATGATACTAAATTGGACTTTATATCTCATCAAGATTCGTAAATCTTCATTATCTTTGCAATCCTCATCTGTGATGGGATTGGCAGTAGGGTCTTCTATATGTTTATAGAATATACCTATGACGGGATCATTCTTTTGACTAGTAATAAGGTCCTCACTAGGAGCTTCTTGACTCCATTGCACGACGTTTAAGTCGGCATTATCTCTAGCCTGTCATCTGGTTATGGCTTCAACATGAATTGAACCCATAAGATCACCAATGTGTAGGGTTTCACCATCGATGGCAGATTGTTTTGCCAGTGAATCGGCTAAGTCATTACCATCCTTGTCAATACCTTCTATTTTAGAATGGCCTTTGGTTTTCTTCCAATATATGGATAAACCATTTTCCTTAACCAGTTCATCGATTTTACAAAACAATTTCCCATGTTTAACAGGTTTGTTATTGCTCTTCAGCATTTGGTTACGTTTCCAGCTAGGCAGATATTCGACGAAACTGTTGCGAACATAGTTAGAATCGGTTATAATAACAAATTCTTTGATACCATATTCTATTGCCATTTGAATGGTCTTATATACTGCATAGAGTTCGGCTATCTGACTGCTTTTGGGACCAATATTGTATCCTATAGATACATTAGGATAATCGCCTGTCCAGGCGATTCCGATACCTGCAACTAATTTCCGTTCAGCACCAACGACGTGGTGATATGAACAACCATCAATGTATACCCACGGTAGTGGTCGACAGTATTCCTCGTCATAAACTTTATAAGGAGATAGCAATTGCTCTTCTAGGAAGTCATCTCCGGTGTCATTATCATCCAGAGATGGAGCAGTACAGTCATGTAATTCTGCTAAACCTTGGGCAACTGGGCTTCACTTATTATGTTTATAACGGACTTCTAACGGCCATCCCTGTAAGGATAGAGTCCATGCAGTAATCCGACTGTTAGAGAGATTACCGTCTCTAATTCTTTCACTCTGCAGATACTGTAGAGGTTGGTGAGCTGTTTCTACAATTATTTTCTCACCTTGGATATAGCTACGAAAATTTTGTAGTGCCCAGACAGTCGACAATAACGCCTTCTCACACGTGTTGAATTTAACTTCAACAGGTGACAAAGTCTTGCTAGCATATGCAATAACTTTGTTTAAACTGTCCTGCTTCTGATACAGAACAGCACTGATGCTTAAATTGGTATAACCTGTCTCCAGATAGAAGGGTTTACCCCCCTCTGGGTATGCTAAACAGGGTGCCTGAGTGAGCTTCCTCCTCAGTTCACTTATCGCTTGGTCCTGAGGCTTCCCCCAGTTCCAGGTAGTTTCCTTTTTAAGCAGGTGTAAGAGTGGTTTAGTTATTTCTGCATAGTTATCTATAAACTTACGGGAGTAGTTAGTCATACCAAGGAACGATCTTAATTCCCTGATGTTTGAAGGTGTTTTAGCCTTTAGTACGGCTTCAACCTTCTTCCTCTGGGGATTTAATCCTTCAGAAGTTACCTCATGTCCGAGGAAATTGACATGGGTGCGACACCATTGTGCCTTTTGTAAAGACAGTTTAATCCCTGCTTCTCTTAACTGAGTGAGAACATGTCTAATCTCCAAGATATGCTTATCAAAGGAAGTGCTTTTCAGCAAGACATCGTCGACATATGATAACGTTCCTCTCTCAAGTGTGTCAGGCATAGCTTTATGCATGAACACAGCAAATTCATGACCAGAGTTTATATAACCGAAAGGCATACGAGTCCAGGTATACTGCTGCTTTCCAAATGTGAAGGCCAATTTGTATTGGTCTTCATTATGGACTGGTACAGTCCAATATCCCTGCGCACAGTCAATGGCAGTGAATATTTTGGATCCCTGCATTTGTACCAAACATTGGTCTATGTATGGCGTTGGCCAACCAGACATATAGACGCGTTTATTTAGCTATCGTAAGTCAGCACATAAACGCCATTGTCCATTAGGTTTCAGAATCCCTAAGATAGGATTATTATACGAACTGTGCACTGGACGTATAATGCCCCTTTCCTTTAAATTCTGAATGATGTCTTGTAGACCATCATATGACGCTAATGGGAGTCTATATTGTTTGATAAATACAGGTGGTAAATTTGGATTAGTTTGTATTCTGGCTACGTGGAGGTTAGTTAACCCACAGTCGTAGGAATCTTTGGCAAAAATATCTTGGAATTCCAAAAGGATTTCCTTTAGCTGTTGCCGCTCAGCATCGTTGGAGCAACCGTCAGCTAAAGATATTTGCTCTTCTAGCCTTTCCTGAAATCCTGGAAAGATTTCAGGCTGGCCTATCTCATAAGCTTCTTCAAGCCTAGAAGTTAGGTCAGTTCGGTGTTGACTTACCTTTTCTCTTTGGTCGTGATACTCTTGTGATTCCTGCTCATTGAGCGGATGATCGAAGGTAATTGATGCTTCTTCGGTTTTACACGAGCCTTCTTCGATGTTGAAGGGATACACAGATAGGATAGTGAATAATCCTTCTGGGGAGGAATGGAATATTTGATCGACAATTTCGTCCTCAGTTAAGTATTCTTCAGGGATGAGGCCTATAATTTGGTTTTGGAAACCAAATGTATAGTACTCAGCATCCAATACTAGACCTAATAATGTTCCTTTTGGTAAAGTAACACTATTGGGTGTAACATTGTTGACCATGATATAGGTGGGATTCTTACCAATACTTACCATTGGTGTATGTGTTACCACCATCCCTAATTGTTGTATCCTGTTGGATAAACAGATTTGGGCATCAGAGTTTTCCAATCTCTGACCCTTCTTGACCTGTAGGGGTAAAAGAAAGTTACTTGTCCCCTGTGGAATGGTTATGTCATCAGGAACTTGGATACTTATCGCATATGGGAGTATTTGTCCTGATTTCAGGGCGTTTTCCTCGTGTAGGTATCCACAAGGATTACCTTTTAACCTTGTCCACAAGTTGGAATTAATCAGGTCAAGGTGTATGGCAAAACGATGTATGACATCATTGCCGGCGTAAACCTGATAGCGAGGTTCGTTTATCACTAGGAATAAATGTTTAACTGTCTTATTTCCGATGGAAATAGATAGTAAACATTTTGCTATCACATTGTAACTCTCTGATTCGCCATCCAGATTCTGGATCCACCTGTCATGTGGGGAAGTGTACCTGATCATTTTAGGATTAGCGATCTGCTTTAACAGACTTCTGCTAATATAGCTGTTCTCACTCTGTAAGTCCAGCTTTGCATTCCTACTTCTTCCTAAGTCATTTATTTGCATAGGAAAGAATAAGTTGTTATTAACCCTTTCAATTCTGGCAAGGAATTGAGCATGACCTGTCAGATCTACAGATTCAACATAGTCCCTGTGGAGAGAAATGGTTAAAACATCACCTTCCAGAGAGACATTCTGGATCCTCTCTGGAGCAGTTCTTACGGAATGCTCATCTACAGGTGCGA